AAGATTATTTGCTATTTTGGTAGGATTTTTCTGTTATCTCAATCTAAACATAGCTGAAATTACATCTCACAACTATACTACGTCTCTTTCATTCAAATGCGTCCGTAGCATATTCGTCACATCAGGACAGTGAAATTGTTTGTGCCGTGTATATAAGTGATATATTCTAGATGCGTATTTTAAAAACTTCGTTAAGTCAGGTCATTTGATTGAATTTATTTTTAATCAAGGACGAATATTTTAAAATTCTGTGTTCCTTCAAGATATAAGCGATCATAGCTCTACATCGATTCATTTAAAAAAAAAAAATGTGAATTACAATTGTAATATGAAAGCTGAGATTAGGTCTTTCCTTATAAGGAAACATTCATTAATAGAGAAGTCAGCGTTAATGTCGGCTGAAATTTATAAAATCTTTCTTTTGAAACAGTATTTCAGAAAAATAATTACTCAAGTCCGTTAGCTGTTATTGCTCCTTCCAGTACTAATGGCGGTTTCCTTCCTAACCTGGTATTTGAACTAGTGCGAAAAGTTAGCGTCTTTATTTTTTTCAGTATTATCAAGAAAACAAACATGTCTTGCTGAACTTTTTTAGCAGGCGCGAACTGGTGCAAAGATTATTGGCAGGGAATCGGGTCTTTAATTCCGGCTGAAATGGCTTGCGTTCGCATCGAGCTAATATTCTTGGTAAAAGGCATGAATGCATATTTCCCTACGATTTTATTGTTAAATATCCTATCTTTGGCTTAACCCGATAATTGACGGAGAAGAATGAAGATGAAAAAACAATACTTCTTGTCTCGTTTATTGAGGAGGATATGGGCGCCGCCGATATATCTACTTATCCTACACATCAGTGAACTGACCAGACAATTCTCTTGATAAAAGAAAAGAACATCTCGATTAACCTACACATTTTCTATATGCCTTATCCCTTCTGTACGTGGGTGTGCATGTCTCTCCACAACTTCCTATCCTTTTTCAACTTTCAGTAATGTTTGTTATTTTGTTATCCCTCTCACCCTGTTCTTTCATCCATTTACGCAAGATCGTTAGTTAGGTTACCTGCAGTTTTTCCGTTGTCTTGTGAGTGTCAAATTCTCCAAACCGTCTTTCCTCATTTTGTTTTTTAGAAACTCCAGTTTAAGTGTTCTTTTTGTTTTCATTTTCCTGACAATTTCTTCGTTTCTTTATATTCCGTTCCGGGTATTCTCAGTATCCTTCTGTAGAAGCATATTTTGGTTGCCTTAAGTTTTATCTTAAATCTGTGAAAAAATTGTCCAGCGTTCACTTCCATATAAAAGGATCACGTTGCTGTTCACCCTTCTTTTCTTTAACGGCCATATAACATTAAAACACCGTTTCCCGTATGATCACCGAAGTTAAGCAACGTCGAGACTGGTCAGTACCTCGATGGGTGATCGCTTGGGAATACCAGGGGCTGTAAGCTTGGATGTGCGGGTGGTGTAATAGCTCAGAATTGTTAATCGGAAAGCAGAGTTCTGGTTGAACTCGCATTCGATTCGTGCTAGAACATTTAGGTAAAGGCATGAAAGCATATCTCCCTACTTTTTATCTGATGATGTTTCATGTATTACCCCTGGTCTGACACGATAGTTTAAAGGAGAAGAGAAAATTAACCGACTTGTCTCGATTATTGTGAAAGAAATGGACGCCACTAAATGTATCTCTTTGTTCTGGAGAAGCTGTAGATCGTTCTAAAAATTTCTATGACTCAGTCATTTATGTACCATGCGTGATACACGCTTAGATACATGACTGACGAGGCAGATTTTTTTTCCCGCAGTAGTTTGCTATTTCATTCTACAGTAATAGCAGTGAGAGGCTTGCGAAGTCTTAGATGTAAGAAAAGGGATTGTCGGCTGGAAAATAATTTATCACCCACAAGGACGCGAAGACGCATTTGGACTCTATCGCGGCAGAAAAGTTAATGGAAATAACAGACCTGATTCTATAGCCTCGGTTGTCATCCAAAGGCTATAGAACCCGGTTTGCTATTTACTCATAACTTTAAGAAGAAGGGGATTCATACCTTTCTCCAAATGTATTAGCGCGTAAGTGAATGTAATTGATGCGACTGGAATTCGAACTCGGCTCTCTGATTCATCAGTCCGAGCCGCTTATCCATTATTCCACCGTGCGTAATGAACCAATTAATTTTTCTTGGTTTATTGAAAGACCATCTCGAATGATCTAAGCCTATCAGACCCCGAAGTATCACCAATGACGATGAATGGGTGTTCCACAGTGAGGCTTCTTTCCGTCAGAACCTTTTCGGTAATAAAAGGGCCCAGACCTCAAGTGGAACTCTTACATATGATCTATAGGTAGAGATGCTGGAAAAATGGTCGGTTTCTTGTACCCCTGGAACTTCGTGTTATCTTCACAAGAGAGATTACAGGCCGAAAATGTGATACTGTTGCCATATATGGGCAGAAGCTACACTGTCCTCACTTTTCAGTCGCGATAGAATCCAAATGAATCTTTGCGTCCTTGTGGGCAATAAATTATTTTCCAGTCGACAACTACTTTCTTACATACAAGACTTCGCAAGCCTCTCACTGCTATACCATTATGTCTATGGAAAGCTTCAGACGAACTACTTTTCTTTAGTCGAACTAGTTCTAACCTACACGGCTAAGACACGCCACACTGCGCACATTGTAGCGAACCACCTTCATTACCTTCACATTCCATTGATGAGATGTAAATTCTACTCGTGAAGCTTCTTTCCATGAATCGCTGTTTTGTTAAACCGACTCCCAAGAGGATGCTTCCTCGATCACAGCAATCTTAATCTGTTCAAGTGTAGGGTTGACCGTTATATTCCTCACATATCCGCATAAACAGTGCGTATTACTCTGTAACTCTCTGCCTCGAGTGGCTCCTGGGCCTTGTAGACGGCGAACATCACTGTAAAAAGCAAACAAAAACAGCGTCTCCCAAATTTTTTAACCTTGTGAAACATTTAGAATTTTTAATGTCTCAGGGAACCCCTGCTTAAAAATTATTACATACCATTATTAATATCTATCTCTGGAAGTTCACGTGGTACATATGGACACTCGTTCTGTACTCGTCTTTCAATGATACATGAATCCAAATATATATATATATATATATATATATATATATATATATATATATATATATATATATATCCTGCTGCTCACTAACTAGTGAAGGTGGTTTGACACTGACGCCATATAGACATCGCTAAATCCATTTCCTACGATTATTATAATTTTAACTAACGTCGGAGGTTGATGCCTTTATTATAATAACCATGGATTTTCCAACAATATGCCGTAGGTGTATAATAAATTTACGAATATGAAATTAAACAAAATGACTCAAAGATACAATAATGTTTCTTGCGGGATCCCTAACGGCCGCCTGCGGAAGCGTACGGTTCCCGAGAAGGCCAGTTGAAAAACACTGATCTAAACTATTAATGCAAAATTATTTCCCCCAACTTGGCGTAGTAGCTTTCAGGGATAAGGTAAGTATGTGATGGTCCCCAGTGAGGATTGAAGTAACCATAGAGTTGTCATGGTAATTAAAATAAATCTCCTTTGCTTAGAATCCTTCAAACTATTAAACCTCAAGAGTAACCATTCGTGCCATCGTTAAAGATGCCTTTTTAAATCATTTTGTCCACAGTCACTAGAACGAAGACGTGTTACAGGGAGTGAGAAGGAAGGCGAATGATAATCAGAAGAAGGGGGAGGATTGAGCAAAAGACAACAAATGAATAGGCTTCAAGAAGACAGAAGATGGCGATTGGCGTGCAAGGTAACTGGGTGTATATGACGACCCTCAAATTTTCAAGTTAAAATGTAGGTTTAGGGTTATATTCGCCGTACAAGACGATCCCTCCAAATTGTATTCATTAAATAAATTCCGTAAGCATATATTTTTACTCAAATCCTAAGGAAAAAAAAAAAGGGTGAGAGAAATATTGTCAATTAACTACCACAATATACAATACCTCATCAGTTGGTGCGGTGTTTTCCGTAAACAGAGTGACTTTTCCCGGCAAATCATCCACTAGTCCCACTGTTCTCATCAACACATGTCGCCGACAAGAGAGAAGAAACTAATTGTAGGCATTGGTTACGAGAAAGAGTTTAAAGTTTTTTGCTACAAGTAAAAAAAAATCAGTAGATATACACTACAGTTTTAGTATAACGTAAGTTCGAGGCAACGTGATAAAACTGAACGATCGAGATTCTGGCAAAATCAACAGCATGGAAACGTAAGGGAAGGAAACGAGCCATGTATTTGGTCATTTAGTTGTGAGGGTGAATGTGGATGGC